TTGAATATTATTTTTAAATATTAGTATTAATATTTCTAACTAAAAGTACTGAAGAAACTTTATTTGACCAATATATATTTACAGAAGCTTAATGAAAAGAATTTATCTTAAAAATTATAGTATATTATTATAGATGAGAATAAACATCCAGATAACAAAATTTTTTCATGTATTTGAGATGTCATTAATCATAATGTGAAGTTGCATTGTTTTCATTAAATTTAAGATCAAATAAAAAGCAGTGACTTATAAGTAAAATTTTAAATTTATAATACAAATACAGTGAAAACTTTCTTATGCCGACACTCATTGTCTGCCAGCCTTTTTTTTTTTAAGCGGGATATCGTACTGAAAGGGATAAGTTGTTGAAAATTATAACAAAAAAAAATTAATTTAGGAAAATTGATACACCCAACAGATATATTCATTCAAGAGAGTTATTTGTTAATATATATTTTTCATTATATATATATTTATTCATTTTGAAAATATTGACATTTATAATTGCTTAAAAATAAGAGATTTTTATTTTACGTACTCATGGCATTCCTTTAACTAATTATTTAATTTATTATTATTATTATTATATAAATCCTTTTACTGATGCGACTAGGCATATCAGAAAACGATGGTTTTATATTATAAGTTATGTGTAATATTTACTTTTAACTACATTTAGACTAAATTTTAACGACAAAAAATCTACAGTCAGAACTAAAAGAAACAACTGAATAAATATTATATAAATTTAGTGGCCTTTAATTGATTTAGTTGGCTCGTATGGCACTATTTGTCCGCACTGCATCACCGATTCAAACAAATTACTTAAATCATATATATCATTATCTAAATTCTTTTAACATTTAATATTTTATGAGAAGCGTTACAAAAAAAAAAGTAACAAAATTACTTATTCCAATATTTATATTCTTGATATGTCTTATTACATAATTAATTAATTTAATTTAATCGGTAAGTCACTCCATTATGAAATGAAGTCATGAAGTGAGATTATTAATTACTAACTAAGCAAGGCTAATATAAGTAGTGCCAATAATCGGGATGAATAACTAGCTTCTACCCCATACAGACATATCTTCAGTACCAAAATAACTATATTTATAATTAAATATAATTTGGTATTATTAAATTACCAACAGTACATTATTACACAGGAAATTATAATTACATCCTTATATGCATGTAATATAGTGTTTTTGATGTTGAACATGGCATTCCATTCCATGGCATTCCATGCATTCCTCGACTATGTTGCGAGAAAGCTATTAATCCCGTCCAAAATTAGGTGCTTTTAATTAGCGAAAATATCACTAATTAAGAGCAGTGTCGGTTAGGCTCGAAAAGCAGTGCCGGTTAGGTTTAGTAAATATCATAAAAGACATACTATGGATTATCGTATGCTCTATTCCACTGTTTAAATTATAAGTTTTTAATACTTTTAATATAACACACTTTTTATGACATATATCTATATACATATATATTATTATTTTTTATTAATATATATATACATATATAACATATATACAATTGAATACGTATATATAAATATATTCCATTCCCAACTAACATATTTGTTCATGTGAAACAATCTAATATAATTTGTAGTGTTGCTGACAATTTAATCAGGTTCCACACTCATATTAGTATTTCTCGAGTATTGGCATATCATTCAGAAAACATTCGCGATAATAACAAGATAAGATACGACACATAAATATTATATGAGATAGAACCAGCCTCTTTTTAAATAGAAATACATACATAGAAGATTACATGTTAAATAATAATATATTATTATTATTTTTTAATCATCTTATCAAGATAAATTTTCATAAAATTGTGAAACTCACTTAAAATGAAAACAAACTTATGAACTATTTCAGTATGAACTATTTAAAGATTATTTCGTAATCGTTCCAAAACATTTTATCTCAAACTTCCGAAGATATTTCTATATTCTTTGTTTTAAAACTAATAATCCTTAAAAAATCTTCAAAAATCTCTTTCAACAATCTCTTTCTCTTTTATGAAAATTACTATATTGTACAGTAAAGACCAAAGTTATAAAGTAGAATAAATTTTATATAGGTAAATCAAAATATACATTAAGACTGAAAAGTTTTCGGAAATTCTCATTTAAAATTCGCGCGCTGTATATTTTTCGATATTTTAAGTTTATGTAGTTTGGCAGCACTGTCCTTAATTACTATGCCAAAAATGAGCTCGATCTGTCAGACAGTTCGTTTACGGCAGCTGTTGAAACCAGTTCACCTCAGTAGTGCGTTGCGAAATGTCTTCGACGGTCGTACGACCGTCCTGGAAGGCTTTGTACCACTCATAAACTTGAGTTTTCGATAAAACTGATTCCCCATAAGCCTTTTGTAGCATTCGCAACGATTCTGCACACGAAATTTCGTTCGAAACACAAAATTTGATGCAAACTCTTTGTTCAATATTTTTTTCCATTGTTTTTTTCGCAACGCCCTACTGAGGTGAACTGGTTTCAACAGCTGCCGTAAACGAACTGTCTGACAGATCGCGCTCATTTTTGGCATAGTAATTAAGGACAGTGCTGCCAAACTACATAAACTTAAAATATCGGAAAATATACAGCGCGCGAATTTTAAATGAGAATTTCCGAAAGCTTTTCGGTCACAATGTATAACTGTAGTAAAATTCACTAAGTAGAAAAGGATCATATATTAACATCTTAAAGGCCGATAAGTTTGTGCATCGTCTGTCAAAATTTATAGAAAAAATCCTTATCTTAAAACTGAAGCGCCTTTACGACAATTAGCAACCTACCTATTAATCTAGTTTCAGAGAGAAAGATAAGATCATCTAATAAATATTGTAGAATAACAAACGAAATAAGAAGCGCATATGGCACTGAAGTTCGTCTTAATGTTAAGCAAGTTTTTGATAAGGTGTGGCACAAAGCATTTATACTTATCTTACCCTGAAATAGCTACTTACTTAGTTGGCCATTACAAACGTGAGTCGTCTTTGTCCTCGTCGAGTAGGCTTTGCCAGCCAGACCGATTAATCGTTGGTCACACAAACTACAAACTACATTCTTTCAACCACTTTATTCTATAATATAAATCACTTCGCTTCATCTAAAAATTTATTGTTTATTATTATTATTATGTTGAGGGAAGTTGAGTCAGTGCACCTGAGCACTTTTACTCTATATTAACTGCGAGGTTTCTTCAAAACCCCTCTTTGCGCCTTGACTGGATTATTATTTATCACATCATCAGTCTAAGTAATAATTGACCTCAAATCTGCATACCTCCCCGAGGAGCCTGTAACCATTCTGAGATTTGATAATGCGGTGTTAGTAAGTCTGTCAGATTTCGCAAATAATTTCAAGGGTCTATCCTTTATGTATTTTTTGATGGGATCAATCTTGAGGTCCCTAAGGATGTCATTCGTCCTAATATACCAAGGAACTTTGAAAAGTCTTCTCAGAGCCTGGCTTTGTGCAATTTCTAATTGGTGAATAGTTGTGTTTGAAGCTTTGCTAAACGCTACACAACCATATAGAAGTGACGGAAAAATTATTTGGTTATATATCAGTTTCCTGTTCTTAGCATTGAGATTTTCATTTGTAAATAGCGGTTGGAGTTAATGAAGAATTTTGGCACAGCTAATTCTTTTCAGTTGAACATGTTTAAGTCATGTGAATCGTTTGTCCAACGTGATACCGAGATATTTAACGCTATCCTCCCAGTTTATCACCATAGCACCCACTCTCACTCTCGACGGATTCTGTCTCCACTTACGCGTTATAAACAGATCCTTAGTTTTTTCATTATTGATTTTAATTTTCCATTTCTGAAAATACTCCAGAATGAGGTTTATATGCTCTTGAAGTGTGTTCGTTATGTTGAGAGCACATTTATCTGAGTATAGCATACACGTATCGTCAGCATATAACGACAGAGTCGAGGGACCTAACATTGGAATATCAGATATATAAATGTTGTAGAGAGTGGGGGAAAGTGGCGATCCCTGAGGAATCCCTGCTTCTATAGATCGGACTGACGAGAGAGTGCTGTTGATTTTCGTGCGAAAGGACCTCCCACGTAGGAAGCTGCCAATGATCTTAGTTAGTCTGCCTGGAACACCTAGATGAGATATTTTAACTATCAGACCATCATGCCAGACCTTGTCAAAAGCTTTAGTAATATCAAAAATGATCATTCTAGTTGACTCTCTTCTACTAAGGGCTGTTTGGATCGTTTGGGTCGTTCTAGCCAGTTGAAGCTCCGTGGACAGGTCATTCCTAAAGCCAAATTGTTCGTAAGGGAGTATATTGCATGAAGCCACGCAATATAATGATAATATATATTAATGTTGTTTCAAGAAACAAGTCATCGTATTAATTGTTATTGAAATTATGTCTTGCCAAAGAACTTCAAGAGCATTAATATAATGCAATAGTTTATCAATTATTAGAGAAGGAAAAACTTTGCCTATATAATCGAAAATAATTTTGAGCATAGTATTTGCATATAATTTTTGGAAATGGTTATTACTTAAGATTTATACTAAATGTACACAATTATATAAATTTTAATCATTTTTATAATTCTTAAAGAGCCATGCCACCAAATAACGACATCATAAATCCAAATGAAAATCTGGAAATACCAAAATGGATAACTACAGACTATTTTACAAATATTTTGGAAAAGGATGAACCAAATTATAAAAAGGTTATTAAATTTACACCGACGGCAGCGATACCGCCAGGGGAGAATTTTACATCCATAATGCTTCGTGTACACATCGATTTGGAAATGAAAGGTATTAAAAAAAGTTTATTAAATATTATTTATATTTATTATAACTGTTTAAAATTATTTCAATGAACTACCACAACTAAGCTCTATTTATATAATTACGAAACTATTTTAGATGGTAGCAAAAAACGTAAAACCTACGTCCTTAAAACTCAATTGGATGATGAAAAAGGTGGTAGTGATATTAAGAAAATGTCACTCTTCCCCAAAGAAATGGAAATGTATCGCACATATCTTCCCGCATTTGAAGAACTTTATAAAGCTGCTGGCTGGCAAGTCCAGTTATCTCCAAAATGTATTTTCACAGAACTTAACGATGGACGAATAAATTTCGTTTTCGAAGACCTTCAGACCAAAAATTTCAAAAACATAAATCGCTTGAAGGGCTGCAATATGGGAGAAATGAGACGTATTCTGCAAAAATTGGCTGAATATCATGCTGCCTCAGCAATTTATGCAGAACAACATGGTCCATATCCAGAAGACTTTCAAAGCGGATTTGTGCATAACAATGAAGGATACGGATTTCATAAGAATTTATACAATTCACGAGTAAATGCCTATAAGAAAGCTATAAGTGGTTGGGGATTGGAAGATGCTGACAAATATATTAAGAATTTTGTAAGTATTTTGTATTGTACAAATGTAAATTAATTTAATTTTCATTTAAATAATTATTTTATAGCCAACATTCGAACAATATTGGAAATGTTGTCAAAGTACTTTGGATACCTCAAATAATAAGTTTAATGTATTAACGCATGGTGATTTTTGGTCCAGTAATCTTATGTTTAGCAGCTTGCCTGATGGCGAAGTCGATGAGTTACTGCTGTTGGACTTTCAGATATGCAAATGGGGTAGTCCAGCTGAAGATTTATTATTCTTTATCAGCATTTCAGCTGCTAAAGATATTCGTATTAAAGAGTTTGATCACTTTGTGGAAATCTACTATGAACGTTTGATTGAGTGCCTTAAACTGCTTAAGTTTAAACAGCCGCTTCCACAGTTGCGTGAAATTCAAATGGAAATGTTTTCTAAGCACAATAGCTTTTATGGTAAGTTATAGTTTAAATATTTTTCTTTAAATAGATGTCTTTTAAAATAATTTACATACATTTGCAGCGTTCTTTGCTTGCTTTAATCATTTATTCCTTGTTTTGTTGCCATCTGATAAAGACAGCAACATTAATTTTCTTCTGAGAGACGATGAAGAGGGCGAAAAATTCAGAATGCGTGCCTTTATGAATCCCGCTTTTAAGGAAACAATGCGAGATTTATATCCGTTTTACTACAGACGCGGTTTATTCAATTTCCAGGACTACAACAATTAAAACATTTAATCAAAGAACTGAAAAAGATGCTTTTGCGTATTTAATGAAATTTCAATATTTAATGATATCAACTTAACTTTGAAACAACTACTTAGTCAATTATCTTAATAATCATTTCGAATGTTTTCTATATGAATGATATTAATATCAGAATGTTGTTTTTGGGATCTCCTCCTTTACCAACGCATTTATTTATTTCTTGGATCAAGGAATCACCTCTTGAGTTAAAATTATTTAATTAGGAAACATTCTGGATTCATTTTTTATATAAGTTTCTAATAAAAATTTATAATAATATGAAATTATAGTATACATCATAAGTTTTTAATAAAAATTTTCAAAACAAATAAGTCCCTTTAATAAAAATGACGATGAAGCCAACCAATATTGTGATAACAATCTGAAGTACTCTTCATTATTATAGAAATAAATTCTACACCAATTACTTTTACTATTTTATTACATTATAATTAGCTTAATTAGTAGAATGAAACAGAGCCACCAAATGGAGATTTCATATATTTCCAAGGCATAAACTAACTTTAGACCGTAATAGTTTTTATTTTCATAAACAAATATTAAACTTGAAGGTATTATTATTACCATATAAGAAAAATGCGGAACTGGAAAGCATGTCATCTGAAAATTATCTTAACTACAAGTGAAGAACATCAACTGAGATAATATATATATGTGACATATAATAACAGATATATAACAGTGCATCCCTACAGTCAAATCATACAAGCATAAAATAATGTCTACAAATTATCTAAAAAAGATAAAATATATCTAAAATATTCAGATACCAGTAAAAATCTAAACGCGACGGAAAGTTTCAAAAAAGTTAATATAAAAGGCAACATTTTATTTATATTCATAGTCTGTAACATAGTTAAATTAGTCAAATAACCATCCACTGAACAGTAAAAAATAATTCTTACATCTTCCAGAAGATTTATGATACAAATATAAATACTTTTAACAAATATTTAAATGCCTTTTGGTTTCTTCAAAATTGTGTCTATAAGCAATCAACCAAGTACTTCTTTTGAAAACATTGGTTCAAATATTACTTCAAATTCCAAATAAATAATGACCGTACGTATACCACATCAGAAGTGGTTTCACCGTCAATCAAGAAGTGATCAATCTCATTTTAAGCGATCAGAAGAATTGCTACGTAGGATTATGAATATCGCAGTGAGGGAGTCTAGTGTCACATACTGCCATGAATGTATGTCCAATTACGTGAAGACAACCAACATAGACAATTTATGAATATGAATCTCATGGAAGCTGCAGTTTCTTGTAATGGAACCCTAAATGTCTTCGTCTCTTTCTTGCTTTCCTTGAAATACCCAATCAAAATTTAAATGTTACAAATTTCTTCGAATCATCTTTTGAAAGCATTATTGGACGTACGCGCAAATTAGAGTAATGTTAGAGAAAGTGGTGTGGATAAAGTGGATAAAAACAAGCCGTTTGCTGGATTTTAAAGTTTATTATTTAATATTATTTAATAAGTCAGTACAATAAGTCAGTCAATACAACAGTGCTGTCGTCAGTTGTACTCTACCAGTGGGCAACTTTGTAATTTTGAGCAAGCTACGTCGTTCAGTTGGTGTTTGATAGCCGTTCAAAGCAGACAACCTCGTAAATTTTTACGAAAATGGAAAAAAGTGTGCAGATTAAGCATTACTTTTTACGTAAAACCTCCATCACTGAAACTAAGAAAGACTTGATAAATACTACGGGGACTCGGCACCATCAATTTCAATGGTTAAGAAGTGGTTTACAGAGTTCCTTTGTGGTGGTACTAGCACTAGTGACACCGAACGTTCAGGTTGCCCAAAATAAGTGATCGTGCCGGAAATCGTCGATAAAATCCATGATATAATATTGGATGATCGGAGAATGAAAGTGCGTGAGTTGGCTCATGCTGTTAGTATGTCAATTGAAAGGGTACATCATATTTTACACGAATGTTTGGACATGAAAAAACTCTCCGCGATATGGGTGCCGCGATTGCTCACACTCGACCATAAGCACAAGCGTATGACCACTTCAAAAGAGTGTTTAGCGATGTTCAGCCATAATCCGAACGAATTCTTGGCGCCGTTTTTTACTGTGGACGAAACATGGATCCATCACAATACGCCAGTGACCAAGGAACAATCGAAACAGTGGATTGCTAGGGGTGAACGTGGACCAAAGAAGGCCTAACAGAATTTGTCAGCCAACAAGGTCATGGCCACAATTTTTTGGGATGCAAGCGGTGTCATTCGAGAAAGATAAAACGATCACCTGCAAATATTATTCAAAGCTTTTGAACAGATTCGACGTTGATTTGAAGCAAAAACGGCCGCATTTGGCGAAGAAGAAAGTGCTGTTCCATCAAGACAATCCACGTGTGCACACTTGTCTAGTCACGTGTGCACACTAGTCTAGTCACCCCATCCAGCATATTCTCCACATTTAGCCCCCTGCGACTATTTTCTGTTTCCAAACCTAAAGAAATGGTTGGGTGGTAAGATATTTGAGTCGAATGAAGAAGTCATTACCGAAACAAACGCGTATTTTGAGAGTTTTGAGAAAACCTATTATTTGGAGGGAATAAGAAAATTAGAAAATCGCTGTACTAAATTTATCGAGCTAAAAGGTGATTGTATAGAAAAATAAAATCTTTATTTGCCAAAAAAAATTTGTTTTATTCAAAAAGTCACTGACTTATCAAACCGCTCTCGTATCCCAATTTGTTTTCTAGAACGGTAACGTCTATCTCACTATAATTGAAGGCTACTGCGAGTAGTAATTATGCATCTTAACTATAGTGCTTCAGAATATTAAAGATAATATCTGTAAATCATAGTTCGTCTGAGGAAGTTATCAACATTTAATTTCTTTTGAGAAGGTTAGATCATGTCTTTTACTGGCTGCTGATTTTAATGACGAATGTCAAACCCTACACACAAACTCATGAAGATGGGCACCTCGCTGTACACAGTTTTGGTTTGTTATTCAAAGACTACTAGATAATTATTCAAGAGTGCCACGTAGAAACGATGCTTATACTAGGATTAAAGCAGAGCAGAATTGTGCTGTCATTTATCGGCTTGAATGCCATCAGATACATTGCCTTATGTACTCACTCCCAGAGGCTAGAAATAAAACACAATGGAAGAATACACGTGTTATATAATTAACGTGTTAAAACGTAACACATTCGACAAACCAACATATTAATGTACAAGTGTACATAATATATATATATATATATATATGTATTTCATTTATATTATATATGATGGCAAAAGTGCGACTAACATTTTAATTAGTGATTCTAATAAATATTAAGAAATTGAATACGTTTTTATTAATTAGTACAATATATATTAAAATTTTGAGTTGGAAACTATAGTAATTATTTTAATATTGCTAATTATATATTATCACTGTACTATGTTAGCTTACACGGCATATGTAGACTCAAAAGAATACGTTTGGGTATATGGACTGCACAAAAATCTCATACTTTCATTTACCTAGAGATTATAATAGTTAACACGTCAATATCTATTTTATATTTATAACATATAAAATCTTTACAAAATTAATATAATTAAGAATTATGATGAAAACAATTTCTCCAGCGCTCATACGACTACTCCCTTGTGTTCAGTGCACTTAAATTGAGTGGAACAATAGTTGCCCTCTTACAACTAGAGCAGTTTCCTTATCAGTTTTCAGTAGAAATTCTCTAGTAAGAACCTGCTAATCAGTACGTTTGGTGTTTTAAATGCACATAACGTAACCGCATTATCTGCGAAAAAAAATATCCAAGCATTGCCGTTCTTTATTTAAAATTGAAATTCATTTAATCAACGGCTGAGTTACAGTCAAGCAAACTTGTCGACAAACAAACATTAAAACAAAACCGATTATTATCTGGGTGATATAAACAATTGTAAATAACACACATTTATATGTGCATATATAGATATATGTTTATAGTATTTATGTGGCTACATTTAAAATAAAAAACGCAGAGCGCAAAACGTTCTGCTAAAATAGTTATTTACTAAATTTAAATTGGAAAACGAATCGTAATTATGAGAGAGCATACAAAGTAGGTGAGATATTTCGTCAAAGGTAAGCGACTAGAGTTTTAGTTCCAGTAAAAACAAAGTAACTATCGGTTGACAAACGACAATTGCGGAATACCTTGAAATATTCAACAAAAAAGCAAACAAAAATAATCCAAGACAACCAACAAATATGCCAGATAACAGCACAAAATTTAATCCGAATTTGAATCTCGAAATACCGAAATGGATAAACGAGAAATACTTCGAAAAAATTCTACAGAAAGATATGCCACAGTTCAAGAAAATTTTAAAATTCACACCTACAGCTGCCACGCCACCCGGGGAGAATTACACATCAATTATGGTACGTATACACATGGATATAGAAATGAAAGGTAAGTTTAATTATCAAAATATATTTTCTCACCGATAACAACTCATATACTTGCATTGCAGATGGCTTTACTCAACAGCAGTCATATATAATGAAAACCATGCTAGATAAAGACAAAGGAGGTACGTTTATAAACACTCTAAATCTATTCCCCAAGGAAAAATTTATGTACGAACAATTGCTGCCTCAACTGGAAACGCTCTATAATGATATTAATAAGAAAGTAAAATTGGCGCCTAAATGCGTCTGGGTTGAGGAGAAGGCCGAACGCATTACACTTGTTCTAGAAGATTTAAACACTAAAAAATTTAAAAATATAAATCGTCTGAAAGGTTTCGACATGGCACATATGAAACGCGTTTTAGAAAAACTGGCTGAATTTCATGCAGTCACAGTGATATGGCAGCAGCGTAATGGGGCATACCCAGAAGAATTTCAAAAAAGTTATCTACCCGCAAACTATCAGAAATCGAAATCTTATCAAGCACGCGTGCAAAGTTTCAAAGCAGCGATGTCTACTTGGGGCTTGGAGGATTATGAGAAATACGCAGAGCGCATTGTAAGTAAAAAGAAAATCAATTTGTCTTTTAGTAATCATTCAAAAATGTTATTTTCTCTTCAGCCAAATGCAGAGCAATTTGTTAATGCTGCTATGGGTTGTTTTAACACTGATCCGAATGAATTTAAAGTTTTAAATCATGGAGATTTTTGGTCCAGCAATATCATGCAAAACTATACTTCAACTGGTGAAATCAATCAAATACGTTTTATTGATTTTCAGTTATGTAAATGGGGTAGTCCAGCACAAGATCTCTGGGAAGTCATCATGTGTTCATCAGAAAGCAATTTACGTATACGAGAATTCGATAATTTTGTACGTATTTATCATACTCATCTTCTCAAATGCTTAAGGCTACTTCAATCTACAAAGCCACTACCAAAGCTACGCGAACTCCATATAAGCATGTTGAAACATGGATTTTGGGGTGAGTATAGACATAATAATTAAACATATATAAATATAGTAAAGATTAAGTTAAACAAAAATTACAAAATTTTCGGCAATTTAAACAATTATACTAGGTCTATTTAGCCTCTTCAAAGTTCACTTTCTAGAAATATTGCTGTAGCAATGAACTCTTAAAAATAAAGATTATTAACATTAAGATATATCTAAATTTATGGCCAAAATAACTTTCATTAAAATATTGGCATGTAAAATGTAGATCTTAAAATTCATTTCATTCGTATATACCATGTAATATATTTATTTATATTATATACATTGATTTATATAGATATATTTTATATATAAATAGATATATACAAATAACTAATATATCAAATATATATCAACATATCTGTTGTTCATACCTATAAATAAACAAACATCTGTAATACCCTCAAAAACTGAGAAACTCCAATTTAGATCTGAAGTTACATTTGTATATGGGTCATTTTTTTTACAAATTGAATACCATTATAACCTCATCATCTCCAATTGGGCTGAAATTTTTTTTATAAGCTCCTTTCATAAAATGAGAAGACCCGTACCTCAGAAAAAATTTTTAAATTTAATTTTTAATTTAATTTTTAATTTTTTTTCCTAGACGATATGGGCACATGGGTTTTTGAGAATTGGCATTGTAGACACATTTTTAAACGGCCATATCTCAGACTATATAAATGATCGAAACTTTTTTTGAAATGAACAGTGAATAATATTTTTTTACATAGATCATAATTATTTATTGAAAATAAAATAGTAAATGAATAATTTTTCAATTAAAAGTTCTACACTGTTATTTTTGTTTATAAAAGCAGCTTTATATGAGTATTCCCATTTGATATGAAGGTTATTATATAAATTTTTCATGTACTTATCTAATAATTATCTTGCAAAATTTATTAAATATTTATTTTCATTAAAAATAGTACACATTTTTTTTATAGTTAATATGAATTCCTTTATTAAATTATTTTCTAAATTTACAGGCTATCTAACAACATTTACACATTTGGTATTGATTCTCCTACCATCGAACAAAGAAGCTAGTCTATTAAATTTAATGCAACCCGGAGAAGAGGGCGATAAATTCCGTCTTAAGGCGTTCACAAATCCCGTGTATGTTCGAGCAGTCTTAGATATTTTTCCATTTTTACTTCGACGTGGCATATTAGATTTTTAATTTTAGTTTAAATATAAGTGCACTAATGTATATAAATGTTTAAATGTATATAAGAAACAAATGCTTGTTCTACACAATACTATTTTTATGTTAATAAAATATCATTAAATAAATATAGCATTAGACGACAATATCATAAAATTTAATATACCAACTTTAAACACAAACGCCTCATTAGATGATAACTAGTAGAATCTTTGCAGCTACTCACACAATCTAGATATTATAATATGTTATAAAATTGTTATCAAGATTAATATGATAATTGGTTCAGAATTCATTATCTTTCCAAGCTGTCAACTTGATTGCAAACTGAATGTCGTATGAGATGAAAGTCTATATACTGCTTGTATTTTTTTATTTATAAAATTATAAAACTATAAAACTTATAAAACTAAAATATATAGTAAGTCTATGCATAATAATAATGCCCAATACTATATCAGAAAGTTAACAAAAAAACTCAACGCTGAAAATGTTCTGAGTAATACAAAATGAAATATCCTTGAAATATGTCTATTTTTCGATCCATAATTCAAACTGATTTAATGAAAAAATAACTGTGTTTTAATATAAACTTCAGTTATACATCTTCTCAAAAAAATGACATTACTTCGGATCTACATCATAGATGCTACATATATACTTTATTATTTATAATTAATTTAATTAATTAATTAAAGAATTTTCGAATAGCAAAAAAAGCAAGAAAGGACAAACACAAAATTTTTATTGAAATTTGGCTGAATATTGCCAAGTCTCTTCATCAGTGGTCTTAGGATATAATCGAATTTTTAATTAGTTTATAGTCCGTATATAATTTAATTGGACTGGAAGTGCCAGGCTTAGAACTCGTACCTGTCAAATTAGACGTGATGACTAATCGTGTTTATCCACAAGTAACCAAGGCTGCACAAACTTTCAATGCTCAAGTTCCAGGTTTTGTTGTCACATATTTTTATTGAATTAGTGACACCAACCAAATTAGAACGAGCTTATAAACTACAGCTTTATTTGGAAACACAAGTTCAACGAATTCAAAATTAACTTTTTGAGTTCGCCTATATTTTTATACTCAAAGCTATTCTTTTTGTGGAGTCATTTGTTATGCATATTGTCTACTTATTATATGTCAAGCGCAAAATTCTGGTGCTTATTACAAAGAAGCTATGCTATGTTACTCTACAGACTCGATTTCGCGATTTAGGAAAAGCTGAACAATATTATATATTATTGTTCTTATATTCACAAGTCTAATTTTTAAAATATGTATTATTATTGCTGGTAAAGCTACGCTTTCTTTATAGTGACGAAGAAGCGATTCTTTCTTTCCTTGCTATTCGAAAATTCACCAAAAAAAAATTTTAATATCGCTTCTTTGTCGCTATAAAGAAATCGTAGTTTTACCGGAAACAATAATACATACATTAATTGATTTAATTATATTAATTATTAATAATTTTTAATTTAATTAACTAGTTTACATTAATATAATTTAAATGAGTTTTTTATTTTTTATAGCAAAATTTTCTTACATAATCTTTTGCACCCATTGACACCCATTGACACCTCATATATGTTATGTATTTAATTCACTACCTTATACATCTATCAGATTTATAAGTGTTTATTATATCGTCTGTAACTGTAAAAATGTTTTATAACTTTATATTAAATTTTTTTTATTTTTTTAATAACATAAATAAGAACATATACGAATATATCTATATAGTAAATATTAATTCCAAATTTAAGCTAACATAATCAAGTCTTCAGCCTTTAATTGTGAACCTTAATATTTTGTTCTTTACATATGATTTTTATAAATTACTTTGGAAGAATTCAAAGTTCTTGAAAGTTTAAAAATTTTATTATTAAATGAGCGTTATTTCTTTATATTAAACTCTAAATCTTATTGTTTCTAAACAACAAGATATTCTTTAAGTACCCTAAACATACAAATTTTCTACGTAAATGATTGTCTTATCTATATGAATCTCGATTTCCTTAAAAATGTCTTCCATGAACTTAATAATCACTTTTAAGTGGCAAAGAAACACCAACTCTTACCTAGCATGCGGATAAGCTCAAACATTTTAAATTTCTTATATATTATACATCTACTTACTTACTTTACTTAGTTGGCCATTACAGACGTGTGCCGTCCTTGGCCGCGTCGAGTAGCCTCCGCCAGTCAGCCCGATTAGTTGCCTTCTGACGCCAGTTGGTAGTACCGAGCGCCCCCAAATCGTTGGTCACCTGGTCCTTCCACCGAAGATGCGGACGTCCTCTACCGCGTTTTCCACCTGCGGGTATCGAATCAAATACCTTTCTAGCCGGAGCACTTATATTATACATCACTATCTACATATCTATATCTACATCTACATAAATTTTCATATATAAATACGTTAGATGATGAAATAAATACTTTAAAATTTTTACACGTTATATTGCAATATTTTTAGTTAATTGTCTCCAGAATAGACATTTGTATTCAAAGTACACATTTATAGAGCGTGAAGAATTTATCAAAATTTATTCAAAAAATCACATTTCTACATTTCACACATTACTTGCAATCGACCTACATAATATTATTGAAGAATTTGGGTGTAATGGTAGTGCTCGAGAAGAATCCAATCAATTAACAAACTCCTAAATATACCGGTTCTTTAATAATAAGTATGAAAGAAAATAGACAACAATTAGTTCGACTTTGCTCTTAAGAATGGATTCAAATGTTTTCTACATGAAAATTTAAATAAGCGATTTTTACAATGTTCTTATTTGTAGAGGAAGTAATTTGCATTAAATTTAGTTTGTGAAATATTATATCTGCTACAGAAATGTTAAGACTACTGCAAAAGACCCTCAATGAATAGACTTTCTCGCAAAAAATGTTAACAATTGTTGTACACAACTCCAAGTAGGCAAAGAAAACGTTTAAGACACTAATCGGTGTATGGAAACATCATCATTAACTGCTGGAAATCATATCATCATATAGCCTTCTGATACTACTAACTTTTCAGTTAGAATTGTATAACCTATTTTGAAGAATATTTTATGGTTGAGAAGACTGAAAAAAATAACGTCACTTTGGATAAAATAAAATATATGATGAGTGGATATTAAAATTGAATCTATGCATGCGATCCGAAAACAACCAACCAATCGAGCGAATATATTGCAAAAGTTTTAAAATGATTTCTGTGATTATCGTGATGTGGGCCAAACAATCGTGATGTGGCTGTTTAACAAGAAATATTATTTTAAGATTATGCTCCCTGAAGGCAGAATTGAGAGCCTACAATTTTTCGTTTTTGCAACACGATAATGCCCCATATCACATTATCTTGATTCTTCGAAACCAATTCGCCAAAAACTCAACTAATATTGGTTCAAAACCATCGCAGCGTCCCGATTAATCCTGTACGGTTTGTGATTATTCCTTTAGCTATTCCTTTCCTACGCCTGTAGTTGCGCTTTGAAGGCCATTCCTTTAATGGCCTTAATTGGCTTTAACAATTATGTCTGGGATTCGCATAAATGAATTTGATCGAAATGAGAGTTCTTAAAAAACGATGAAATTTATTAAAAATAATAATTCCACTACTACTACTATTTTCCAATTCTCCCAGTGGGGCATAGGTCCTCAATAATTCTTCTAAATCTAACTCTATTTGATGCTGCTTTATAGATGTCGTTCCATCTATATCGTGCTTCAGTTAGCTCACTTTCGGCCAAACTTATTCACGTTTTCGCTGTCGCACCAGGTCTTCTGCCACCTTAAAAAAAATATTTTAAATGTTATAAACAATTTCACCATATACCCAGTGTTATTAAGTATAATTTAGATTTGCACTGACATATTTGTTTATATTTCGCATATGAACGAAAAACCCGTGCCTACAAACAAAATATTATGTAAGTTTTTATAAAAAAAAATTCGGAATATTACATTGATAAGTTGAATGAAATCAGTTGTGTTACATAATGAAATTTGCATATGTTTTACTTGAACAATACTCGTTTGTATAAATTAAAAATCTTAATATATTTTTTTCATATTTGCATTCTTAAAAATTCGCTCAGTGTACAGAACCTCAATAAATACACGAGCAAAAATTGACTTGATTGTACGGAAAGCTCTTATCTTGTACGGCGCTCTAAACGTTAAGCCGGCATATACTTTTACGAAAATCGGAGAGCAGAGAGTTTTTAATTAACACGTGAATATTAAAGATAAAATATATTAAATAAAAATTTAACCAAAATAACTTCAAAGGCATTTCAGACTCATTTTCGTTTAGCTTAATTTGGTGCCGGTCATTTTTGTGATCGTTATTCACACAAGTCAGGTGACTTAAAAAAAAAAATTTCTATTGTGTCGAATGTAATATAATTAAATTTATTTAAATACATTTAAATAAATTTACACACATTTGAATAAATTTAATTTGAAAACAAAAAGAAAATGGGTACTGGTGCTAAAGACTATCAACCTCCAGAATGGATTACTACTGATTTTTTGCAAGATGTTCTTAAGGAATACTTCAAAGACGATACCTTACAAGTCAGTAATCTTGTAATAAAAAGCACTTACACTGGTGACAAGCCCAATGGATTTGCTAGTGAAATGCATAGAGCTATCTTCCATTTAGCTCGCAGTGGCGTAGATGGAAAATTTTCCGTGATTATCAAGGTAGGACTTATATAAATCTGAAATATTTTTATATACAACAAAATTAAAGACTAGTTTATTTAAAACTAAATGTTAAATCGTACACATATAAATTATTTTCAATCACTTAGTTTCTTGTATAAATCCATATAAAAACTATGTGGTGAAAAAAATTTACTCAAATCCATTCAATATTTGTTTAAGAGATAAATAATCTCTAAAACTGACCTACACACAAATATTTATTGTGATAAATAATCAACAAGATATAGGTAAATAAGATTCATACAGTCTGTTGATCTAATTAAGTATGACGTGTCTGCCTTTACTTCTCCTACCGAACTGCTTGTGTTAGTGAATGGATGATCTGTTTCTTTTATTATGAACCAGTTTTACTATACCTATAACACACAGATCTGCCGGCTTACAAATTCGTAGACACTTAAAGTTCACACTCTTTTGATACAATGGGACTCTTCTGACAGCAGTACCGACTGTTAGGCGATTTCACGACAATAGTTTTAATAATTAATAATAATAGTTCAAAATCCTAAACTTATTTTGTTTAATATTAGTAATGCCTAAATTTCTTTTAAAAAGATCAACAATAATAATTTTTCTAGATCTTAAAGTAATTTAAACATTATTCATAGATCAATCACTTTTCTTAATTAAATGTGCTTTCAGAATATCCTATTCAATCTTATTTGAGTTTAGAATACAAATTAGATCTACATATAAATATTAATAGCATATTAAAATAATTATTAATAATGAGTTATGTAAATAAATAGTATAGTAGTATAATCGAATAAATAAAGTAAATAAATTAAAAATAGAATATAGGTATAATATAAGAAATATTAATATTGAAAGATATAGCTTTTTATTAAACTGGCTCTTTTATTTTTGACCCTGACGTCAGTCGGAGACAAAAAGTTAGTGCTTCACCCGCATATTAATTGGAAACAATATAAATCCAAATCCTATAAAATAATTATTAATAATGAATTTATGTGAATAAATAGCAATAGAAATAAATTGCGTTACATTGTTAATATATAAATATATAATTATAAATATTATAGGTGTGAATGCAAAGCAAACAAATTAATTCAAAATAATTAAGCAAACAAGCCCCTAAAATCAAAATTAATTAAACATTTATTCAATATAAATTATTAATTTTTTACATGATGAAATCTATCTACAAAATTGGATAGATTTTTAACATAGAATACAAAATCTATTTAAATTTATTTTTAAATAAAAAAAGTTGAAAATTAAGGAAATTGTAAATTACTTTCAATTTTCATATCTTCATTGCCAGACATAATTGTAAATATACCGAAACACAGATGTGGGCAACAAGCAGCCTAACATGGCTAACTATATGCTAACTATATATAAAGAAATTGAAACAAAGATTCTATATATATTGATTATTTTTAAAGTAAAACTAAATTTTTACAAATTTTAACATATTACTTTCATTAAAAATTTAATCCAACTATGATATTTGGTCTCTATGGTCAACTAATTAAAAGGTTTCCCATTTCTGTCCTTAACTTATCTCCTAAAAATAAGTAATCTGATAGTGTAAATTTTTTTAAATATATAGAAAAAATAATTTAAAAATAGAATATATAGTATAATAAATATTGATATTAAAAGATTATGGCTTCTTGTTAAACTGGTTTTGTTATTTTCGACATTGCCGTAAATCAGAAAAAATTTAATTATTGGGAACAATATCAATACATTAATTGGAAACCATATAAATACAACATCAAACAAAAAATAATAACTTATGATTTAACTAATTAAACAAACTTAAAGTTAACAAACCAAAATAACTGATCTTCCTTCTGAAGCCGAGTGACCATGGATGGTATTAGCCATCCTAATTAGCTAAATCGCGGTATGAAAAATATTAAGAATAATAGGTCGTACCGACAATCCCTAAGGATTCACTTTGTCCTATAGGCACATTGTGCTATAAAAATAATAATCAACTATAATAAACTAAACTAAATGTATAAACTATAATATAATTTTAATAGAAATGCGATTGATATAATTTTTCTGTCATTTTTATGACATATTTTCACATAAAAATAATATCATAAAAAAACGATTGCAAAAACAATCTATCGCATAAATAATAATATAACTACATATGAGAATCCATACATATGAAACACATATCTCTACTTGCCATGGATTGGTTAAACAACAATTATTGCAATAAACTATGAAGATATGTGTATTCCATTTTGATGAACTCAAAGATATCAAGTAGAGATGTAGTCAGGATTTCGACTTTGTGGAATAAGAGAACTAAAATCAATGCAGTCATATCAGCATGATCGAATTGGAAGGGATTTGAGTAGCTGAATACCCCTCTGAATTGATCAGACAAGCTATATGTACACATATACATCGATAGAAAAACACCGTTATCAATTGAACAAATTGAATATATATTACAGTGTGAAGGACTGATGCATCAACTCTGTTTTTAATATAGTTAAAGCACAGTGATGGAGTTTATATTTCTGGAAGGAGATATTTATTTTTTACAATTTCAGTTTTTCCATCAATCACAACAGTTAGTGTTGAGTGATCATTTCATATCATAAAAAAGAGTAACAACTCTATCAGAAAACCTAATTAGCTCTAATAAACTAAGTTACCTAGCTAAATTTTGGATTCAATAAGACATTGCAGTTGATCTAGAAGAAAATATCCACTATAGAGCAAAAATCTAGAAGAAGTCTTCAAAAATTATTTGCTTTTAAAACCTGTAAGCCCCTCTAAATTAATTTTTGGCCACAGGCCTGTCGTCAAATACAAATTGGCAACTCAATTCAATTTGGTCTATAGCCATCAAAGTGGTATTTTGTTTAAAAAAATAACCAATTTTAATTTAGATTAGTTTTTATGTTTCTAACTGGCAGTTTTTTGCTTTTATCTAATTATTTCTTTAGTTTGTAATACAGGTTTGTAATACAAATTCTTCTGCCGCCATCTTCCCAATTCTTTCCAAAACTAACATTAAGTATTTGTTAAAATTTTGTTTAAATTAAATAAAACATATTTTTCATATATTTAATTTCATTATTGTAAATATTACTTTTCGTAATTTAACTACAATAACTACATAGTTTTTTTTTGGTATCTACTAATTTTAGGACCATCCCAAGGGTCAGAGTGGGGTTGTGGCACATAAAAGTAAACTTTTCAAACGTGAAATTTTGGCATACAAAGAAATATTACCACGCATAGAAGAGATGCTCGCCTCAATTGGTGATAACACGAAAATTGCCCCTGCTTGTTACTACACCACTGAAACTCCAGAACCATTCATTATACTAGAAGACATGTCCGTGACTGGTTTTGAGAATTTTGAAAAGTGTCGTTTATTAAATTTAGATTATGTACTACCAACGATCGAAAAATTAGCAAAATTACATGCCTGCTCCGCTGTACTAGCAGCACAAAGGCCTAACATTATGGAATTCTTTGAAGAAGCAGCAATATCACGTAATCCTGATCGTAAGGACTTTCTCGTATTTTTTCCAGTTAATATACGTTGCGTTGCTGAAGAGCTGACGCACTGGAAAGGCTATGAGGAAATAACAGAAAAAATGTACAAATTATCTGAAAATGTTTTACAAAAAGCTGTAGAAATGTTTGAATCACACGAAGAGGGTTTTCGAGTTTTCAATTTAGCAGACATATGGGTTGATAATTTGATGTTTCACATAAACAATGAAACAAAAGAACCAGATGATGTCGTTATGGTAAGCTAATTATAATCGTAATAATTAATTTCAGGAATGATGCATAATAACTAATAATCAAATTAAAGATTTCTATGTGGCTATATACCTACCTACATATTCTATTATCTCCATTCTTTTAATACCGATTCTTTATCTTGTGTTCTATATCTTACAGTTGGATTATCAACTTTCATACTATGGCTCACCAGCTACAGACCTCAACTATTTTCTTTTTGGTTCCGTTAATGAAAATGTACGTAAGGTACATTTTAAATTTATTATCAGAGAATATCACCGCATTTTAAAAGAAACACTTGAAAAATTGAACTATACCGAACATATACCAACTCTAAAAGAAATCAATATAGAATTAATTAAAAATAGCTTACAAGGTATGGTTAAAATAGATATATATTTACAGTTTTAAAATAATATGAATTTACATTTATTTATTTATTATATTTTCAATTTTTTAGCCGTTATTGCTGCCACTTGTCTGACACCTATTATTTTGATGGATGCAGGTGCCATAACCAATTTGGAAAACTTATTTACACGATCGGAAGAGGGGGATCAGATCCGTCGTCAAAATGTGGAAAACCCGAAATATCGTGCCTTTCTGCAACGTACAGTTAAAGAATTTGAGTTGAATGGTTTTCTTGATCTATGAAGCACAACAATATATTTTTTTTAAAAACTACTTCCAAGCCAAATGAGTAATGTAAAATTTTCTAACTTGTAATTTCTTCAATTACATTCTACTACAAAGATTAGTTTTATTTCTATAATCTGACAGTTGAGGATCATATTCCGGTAATTAAGGACCACAAAACGTGATATGTATAACATACATAACGTGATATATATACAGAATTAAAAACAAATTTCTTGAAGTTTTAAAATTAAAACAAATTTAAAATAAATATCAAAATATAAATAATGTATGTACATATATATATTTAATAAATCAATAAAACACTATTCTATCTTAAGAAGAATTAAAGAAATAAAATTGTTTTTAACAAAATGTAGTTTTCGAATTTTCTTATATGATATTCTTATCTACAGTTATATGCCTAATAGAATTATCTAAAATGTTACTTAACAAATTATTAAGTGTAATTTTCGTGCTATTTTATTAAATAAATCCCTACCATTGATACTTGTCAATATAGTTCTCTAAACAATACTACATACTATATACTACTGTGTATTTGTTTTTAAATTTTTCTTTTAATTACATTCAAAGTCTCTGAGAAGAGAGATCTTGTCTCACTACTGATCAGGCTCCAACAAGCCCCTACGATCATATACTGGTAGAAACTTTTTAACAATTCTTTCACTGAATTCAGTATCATAGCAGCTGTCCTTAAATTTTACAGCGCGTTCATCTTCCAACATGAGAGCATTGAAATCAGCATCATGAGTATCCTCATTCCTTTGTACAGCCTGTAAAATACAGGATGCGCAAAATGCTAAAAAAAAAATGAAAATTATTTAATAGTTACAAACCATAAAAAATGTTTAAATTTAAATAAAATATATTTTCATATATTTAAAATATAATATAATATATTATAAAATTTAATAAAATATGTTATAATATAATAATATATGTCATGTTTGTATATCTAGAGTATAAGGACTAATGAAAACCCGACCTATTGGTAAGGTCGAATAAAATTTAAAACGTTTTTATATAGAAAACTTTTTTAATTTACACAAAATAAAATTGATGCCCCAGCTGAGTAAGCATAAATAATTAATTATCTTATTTTTTATAATTAATTAAAGCATATACAGTCATACTCACCATAAAAAGCTTTTTCTTCTAACTCCATATGGAAGCTGTGTAAACTTGGTATCTTAGCTTTGTAACGCAACTTTTTTAATGTATCCGCCAGAATTTCATAGTAATATTGTATCAGTTCATCTTCCACAGCTAATTGTAACTCTTCGTTCAATGATGTATTAAAGAAATAAAATAAATCAATTGCTGGTGAACCCCAAGCTGAGTATTGAAAATCAATTATAACTGCATCTAAAGGATTGCCACTTTCCTTATCATATTTTACCATCACATTATTGGTCCAGATATCACCATGTGCCAAGACATTCAGCCTACCTTCAAGTGGATCAAATACGCGTTTCGCTAATTCCATATACATTGGCCTCAGTTTTTCTATCTTTTGTGCATAATGCTCGTAGCCCGGCCATTGACGAAGACGTCTACCCATCGCCTCTAACAATCCCACAAAGCAAGGTGCATAATTGTCTGTATGACGATTATACATGCCGCGGTCGTAATGTTCTAAAGATCTAGGTTCACGTTCATTCAACACAGCACTGGCAGCATGCATTTTAGCCAATTTTTTTAGCACCATTTTTGATAAATTCTTATCCAAACCTTGCAAACGATCTGGATTGGTAAAGCCACGCATAGTGAGATCCTCAAAAATAAGTGCTGATTTCCTATAATCCACATTCATTGTTGCAGCAAATATTTGCTCATTATCGCCAATTTCACGTAGCAACGTGTTCAGTTTGGGTAGCACACTTTCATAGATGGACATCTCACAGTTGAAGATATCATAGGGTTCCATTATTTGTCGTGCCAATTCATCGCCCTCGAAACTTGTTTTCACGATATAATGACCAACTTGATGTTGGCCGGTCCCAGTGACATATTCGGCATTAATGCGCGTTAGAACGCCACCATAATTCTCACCACGTCCTAATGCTGGTGTTATATTGATATTGTTTACTTTAAGTGTGTGATCATTATAATATATACGTAAGCTTTTTTGTATATATTTTGTAGAAAGCCAAACTGGCGTATCCAATAAACTACTGCTCGTCGAAGAAGTCGACTCTCCGCGATTAAGACTGCGTATTTTCGATAGCTCCTCGGCCGTAGTCACGAAATGTGGTGCGGACATTTTGAAAGTGTGAAGCTTGTTTTATTAACTAGTTTTCTAGTTTCAAAATTAACTATTTTATAATTTATTCAGTAATTTCTCTATTTATATATGCGATTTTAAAAAAATCTCAAGTCAAACCTCTTTCGCGAAACGAAAAGTCATGCAACTACACGTGTTGGAAGCAGCTCGAAAACAAATTTCAGTCCGACTTTCGTTCGCGCTTTTATACTTCATCCCATCGCAATGCGTTGTTTGGATTTATCTAAAAATTTATGACATTGCAAAACAAGTTCTCATATTCATTTTAAATAAATTTAAAATGTTATATAGTTAATTATTTTCATTTTTCAAATCGAGAAATATTGTAAGAAATTGCGTTACAAGTGCTTAAGTCTATTAAAATTTATTTTGCTACTTTTTCTAAACACGTTTTCTAACTATTTACGAAGAAGAAAGCGGAAAGATTAATTATACGAGCTTCCACGAATTCTCAAAGTTCTTTCTGTAATAAAAATTATTAAAGTTTTATTTTAATTTGTTACTAATTAAGCATGTTTTGTATATTTTGTCGGTTATTGTTAACCAATAGAAACTAATGGGTAACGTTAACTATTATTATTCCAACTGACTTGAGTCATAGCCAAGGGTGGGACTTGAGTGGTTAAAGCCCCCTCCAAATTGAAACATTGAGCTGTACATGCACAAAAGCAATGTAGATAAATAATCATTGTCTGCAATTAAAGCCGAGTATGTATTTCGATGTGGAAGCATATCAACGAACGAGGCTCATATTGAGATTTTAAAATTAGTGGAACTTATTTTAGATTTTGACCCTACTGCCAATCAGAACAAATGGCTAGAATTTACAACAGATTGAGTGGGTTTACTACAATTTCAATACGTTAAAATGCTGCTATTGAACCAGATGAACTGATTGACCAGATGAACTGATTCTTTCGATAAAAGAAAAATAATCTAAACTACTTAAATTTTTAATTTGTATACCACTCTTGAGTATATTTCTAGGAAATGACCCATAATTGACTTAATCCCCTTTCAAGTATCAATCTTTCTTCTCTAATATAATATTATAAAATAATGATGTGGAATATATACCGTTTACATCATAATGAAAATAAGAAAAAAAGTGTGAGATAGAAACTGAGAAGGAAAGAGAGAAAAAACGGATGGAGTAAGAAAACATTTTTAGATGTATAGGCATAACTTACTAACCAAGATCAACCCCAACAAGTTTTCAGTATAAAATTATTCTTTCATATGTTTATCATTATTTCTATTCTCATTATTTGCTTTTATTTACTGCTTAATAGGGTTTGAAAGTTTTCTAACAGAAGTAATTATGAGAACTTTTCTAATATCACGAAAATAGGACTCATTAGTTTTAATAGCAGATATATTTTCTAAAAGGGTTGGGAACTAGTCACCGCGTCACTGCATCCTCGAGGATTATTGTGATAGCAGATATAACTTCAGTACATAGGTCAGGTTAACTAGAATTATTTCGAATTAAAACACTAAGCAAAAACTTTCGTTCCTTAATAACACCAATATGATATTAATAGAATTGAACTACAATTCGCAATTATTGCTACATTATAAGAACATTATAGTACCCTCGAAATATTGTCGAAATATTGATGTAAATAAAAAAATTTCTTAAAAACTATAAAAACTATATAAATAAAAATATATAATCATATTTTCGAACTTCAGGCAAAGTACAAAATTAGTGTCAAATAAATTTCACATCCTTAGAAGTGCATTACTTCCTGCATTTATTCTTCGACTTCTTGGAAATTACTGAACCGTTCTTCATTAAAATTGTTGCTTATCCCTAGGAATAATTGTGAGTATAATACAACTCCCCAGCTCTGCCATCTCAAATAATTTTTCATAGATACAGCAAACTTTGCCATATTGAAAAACTATTTTTTCCTGTTCATTTAACCCATCTGATCAGAAATTCATTTAATCAAGCAATAAATATATACGTTTCACTCGGTAATGGTAGCGTTAGTCGATATCGTTTTTTTAATTTTAAAACTCATATTACACCACATTGTTTTGAAATATGTACATATGATGCGCTCAAAAAGTACCGGATTTTGTAAATAAAACACATAAATTTAAAATGTATTGCAAATTTATTTTATCTTCTTCAAAATATGCTCCTTCTGAAGCGATACACATATGCCAACGCTTAACCCAATCTTCCATACACTTTTCGTAGGCCCGTGAAGGTATGGCTTTTAGTTCCTTCAACGAATTCTCTTTTACCGATTCAATCGACTCAAAACGCTTACCACGAAGTGGCAATTTGAGTTTCGGGAACAGGAAAAAGTCGCACGGAGCGATGACAGTGGTGTCGTGGTGAAGAATCCAATTGTTGGCTTTCCACAAATCTGGCCTTTTCTTACGGATGGACTCACGCAAATGCCTCATAACACCGAGGTAATATTCTTTATTGATGGTATGACCCACTGGCAAAAATTCGTAATTCGTAACACCTCGGTAGTCGACAAAAACAGTGAGCATAACTTTAATTTTCGAGCGACTTTTGCGCGGTTTTTTGGGTTTTGGCTCGTTTTCGAAACGCCATTCGCTCGATTGTTGACTGGTTTCGACGCCATACTCATAAACCCATGTCTCATCACCTGTTATGATGCGTTTCATGAATATAGAGTCGTTTCCATGCTCAAAAATCATTTCTTCACACACGTTCTTTCGGTATTCTTTTTGCAAAAAATCAAGGTATTTCGGTACAAGTCCAGCTGCAACGCGTCTCATGTCCAATATATCATGTAGAATGTGGTGAACGGATCCATTTGAGATGTTTAAGTCATTATCAATATCCCTTTCAGTCATACGACGATCTTCCAGCACAATTTTTTTGATTTTTGCCACGTTTTCTTCGGTATTTGTTATTGATGGACAATATTCGATCACTTCATGAAAATTCCAAACAAACTCGTTGTTCAACTGA